AAAAAAAATTAGGGGAATTCCATTTTGTGAATGAAAAACAATATCATTCAGTACTAAGGACCATGATCATGAACGAATACAAACAGATTTGCTCTTGAACATTCTCCTTTCTGGTACTGTCTCAAAGATGGGAGACTGATACCTCTCTCTGCCATAATTCAGTATACTCCCTCTTTGGAAGTGACAAAAGTTTTCGGGTTTCTTGTAAACTTGTCTCCTGAGATGCGGGTAGCCATGAAACAAATAATCAGAAGGATCAAAGACTGGGGATTCTTTCTGGGTCATATGTGTAGACCTACCATCTACCAGACTGTTTGAGGTAGCCGGAGTGAAAAGCTGTGACTCTTTCCTTGATAAACTGTTAGCCCTCAAGCAATTCTCTATCACTCTTGTTTCCTCCTTGAATCTATCCCTGATGTCTTTGAAGACTCGCGCTACCCTGCAAGATCTTGAATCCATTTCTTCTACTTTTGATGCACATGAATTGATAGAGGAATAGCTAGACTCATATGGGATTCCATTGCACTCAATGCAGAAGCTCTTACACCTCTCGGAGTTGAAAGTTCTTCTCCTAACACCATCAGAGAGACACGAATATGCCTGCAGAAGAAGAACATTGATTAGTTTGGTGACATTTTTCACTGCACTGGCAAAGATTGAATGCACTTGTACCTAACACTCAAATGCTGTTGGCTCAGTTTCAGATCTCTTGAACCAACTTCTGCTCTCAAAATTGAATGATGTACGTGTTTCTTTATGAGTACCTCACGTGAATGTCAATTTCAACCATCCACGTAAAAAGTTAATTCATGTACCTTGGACTTAGTATACATTCAACCTTTTTTCATCCTCATACACATTCCATTCTTAATACATCATTCAATTTTATTAGTTTAGTTAGGTATTGCTGAAATTTAAACATTTAATCTAAATTTAAAGTCAAAATCAAGAATTTTAAACTAATAAATACCAACTCCACTAATCCTTAGTTGGTATAGTTGGTATATCTAATCAACTGCCATACCCTAAAAACTAGGATTAACAAAATGAGAAATCATATCATTCCCAGGCACTAAATTACAAAAATAAATAAATAAATGAATAAAAACTCATTGTTTCTCAAAACAACTCTATCTAAGATTAATAACATAATTACAAAGCAATGTGTCAAAGTCCAAATACTACAAAAAAGAAAAGAAAAAGAAAAAGAAAAAGAAAAAGTAGAGAAATTTTATTAAATGTTGAGGGGAAACAAATTAATTCCAGATCCTAACCTCTAGGACAAGTTTAAATGCAGTCTCAGCTTTTGGATGCTTGTTCTTATCTGGGTGAAGTTGCAAAGCTGCATAGAGAAAACCCCTCAAACAATCTCAACAAAACAAAACAAACATCAAAATCCAAACACTGTCAATCCGAAGCAACAAGAGAAACCCACCAAGTGTATGGTACCGCTTCTTTATAGCCTCCATTCCTGCATCCTCTGCCACCTGCAAATCCCATTTTCGGAAACGTAAGAACCCAAGAAGCTCCGAATGGGAATCGAGATTAAGAGATTTTAGGAGGCAAAAAAGGAAAATAAAACGTACTCCAAGAAGATGGTACCAGTCGACGAAATGAGACTTGGCCGGAATGCAATGGCGGCGGTGGATACAGCCAACAGGTGCGGTGGAAATGGCGCAAATCTCCAGCACCAACTGGGATTTGGCGTCGAAATGTTGGGGACCGATTTTTCCCATTTTTCTCCGGTGAAGGAAAGGTGTGTGGGGGGTAATGGAAAGTGGTGGAGCGGTTATGGGAGGCCTGCGGGGAGAGAGAATTTTCAAAGTGAATCAGTTTGCAGTTTGGTGGGAAGGGAGAAAAAAAGCAACGTTTAACTTTGCCACGTGGATTTTTCAGCGCAAGTTTAGGCTCCCCCGTTATGCTTATGCTGGTATTTAATTTTAATTTCAAAAGAAAGAAAAAAGAGGAAAAGTTAATTGCATAATTATAATATTATATAATATTTTAAACTTATAATTATGGTATATTTTTAAATAAACAAATATATAATATTAATGTTAAATTCTTAAGTAAAAAAATTAATTATGTATAATATAAGTATATATATTTTTAAAAAAAAGTTATCTTACTATCTAAATTTAAAATGCTTCATATTATAAAATAAAAAATATTAAAAATAAAAAGAACTCTTAACATTAAAGAACATGTTTTTTATTTAATAATTTGTATTATGTAATTAGATATAATCAACACTTTAAAAAAGAAAAAATAATGGTTATCTTTCTCCAAATTTAAACCCATCACTTTTACTCTTATCAATGTTATAAAAGTAAAAGTATTATTTAAATTAGTAAAAATTCCGTGACAATTGAAAAGGAATGGAAGGAGTAAATTTTTTATTGAAAATTTTTATGTCAAGTGAAATTACTTAACTAAAATTATGTGTTAAAAAATTTTTTGTGACAATTTTTTTTTTTTTAATGTTCTATTGTTATATTCATTTTTTGAGATGTAATCTGGAAACAACATTGAATTGAATCACAAGATGCAGGAGGCGTCCAGCTAGAGTGAACCACCCATATAACACCCAGTGAGAACTTGGACAAACAAGTAGGTTATTTGAATTAATTAAAAAAAAAAAAAACAGTTGATAACTAATAATTAATACCTGATAATTAATAATTATTAATATTTATAATTTAAAATATTTAATTTATTTAATTAAAATTATCAACTAATAATTGTTTTCAATAAATTAAAACAAACACTCTTAAAAGCAAAAAGAAGGTGTTTAGTTTAGTGTCAAGGAGTAGGTGAAAATCAAAATCCAGTTGTCCCCCCTCAGCCCTCCTGCTTCCGTTATACAGAATTTAAACCTTTTTTTTAATTTTTACAGTCAAATGTTTTCAATCACATTGACTTAATATATTTCAAAAAATTAATATTTTTAAGTATTAATTTTAAATTTTGAATTGTAAACTTACCTTATAAAATATGACACCTACTTTGTAATAAATTTAACTTTAAAAATTACAAACTTAAAGCATTTTCCCTTAGAAAAAAAAACTCTTCCTCCTTTTCCTATTTTATAAATGAAAGTTTGACATTAATCTCACTAGTCACCATGATGATGATAATTTCCACTTCCACCAATAAATATTTTGGTACAATGGGTAGGGCTAAAACACTGAAAAATTATAACTTGTTCATAACTTGCATGTATTTTAATATTCATTGCAATGATTCAAACATGAAATGTTCATAATCTTGGTTGGATCCTTAATTATGAGCCCAAAATTCTACCTAAATTGAAATTATTTGACTTTGATCCTTAGCAGTAATTAATCATTTGATTGGGGTTTTGAATAGCTGGTAGATTGAATACATTATTCATGGAGGGTGTTAGGGCATGGCCCAGGGGCTAGGGACTGTCTACCACATGAGAACCATACAAGGGTGAGTTACTGATGGGCAGGTACCCTAAGTCAATGGGAGCAGTTGAAATTTGGGGTCCAATGCTGCAGAAATAATTTTGATAATTTAGGGATCAATATCAAACAGAGCGTATGTTTCGCTTAAATGAGTCGAGTTAAGTGGTTAGTTACTTATCTTTTATTGGAAACTCTATACTAAATTTGATGTTTGATTTTGTAGGGATCATTTTCCCCATCCATATAATATAGTAGAAATACAATAATTTATTTATTTAAGTAGAAAGAGATTTGTTTTCTTTAAATAAAATCTTGAATTTAAGTTTTGTAAATAAAGAAACAAATGTGAGAAAGTTTTTTTTAATAAAATTTGATACAATTCGATTTCAGATTAATTAAAATTTAATATGATTATCAAATATCAAGAAATTAATATAAAAAATAATATAATAAAAATATTTATAAAAAATTACCCTTGTTTAAAAAAAAAAACTCAAACAAAGCCTATGATCCAAAATTCTATGTGCTCTCTTTAAAAAATCAAGACAATTTTTTTTGGCTCTCCATGAACACATTTCTCCTTTTTCTATGGCTTTGGAGTTGGACTCTCTAAATTTGTCTTGGAAATGGAAATAAAAATGCAAAAGCAAAAGAATACTCGAAAACAATTATGGATGGGTCCAAAGTACAAACTCAATAGATTATCAGAAAAAAGGGGGTCCAAATTCAATAATGCCTAGCCTAATGCTTTCTTCTAGACTTCTACTCAATTTTGGTGGACCAACTACTAATAAACATCATCATTGGGTGTCTTCAGCTTTTCACGAAATGGCCCACCCATTTGATTAAAGACCCAGCATGGCCCAAATAACCAAATCTTTCTCCATTTCTTTTTCCATAATATTATAATAATAAGAGTTAATATTTGTTTGTTTTATTTTTAAAAAGTTAAGAAAAAATAAAAACAAAAAATATATTAATTTATGTTTTAAAAAATAAAATATTTTAATTTTTTTAATAAATATTTATTAAAAAAACTTAATTTTAAAATAATATTTCTTTTAATCTTTAAAAAATAAGACAAAAAAATGTTATTACATGATAATAATCACCTTCCAAAAAAAAAAATCAATCTGATGATTTGGAGCGCAAGGATTTTTTTTTTAAATAATGATTTCCAAACCATTATTAATTTATTATTATTTTTTGATGAACCAAACCATTATTAGGACTAGAAAAATGAGTTCTTGATATTGAATCACTATTTATTTGGCTCAGGTGTAATGTCGTACTTATATTTCAATATTCTGTATCTTTGGGCAGATAATCATTTTTTTATAGTACGTACAGAATCATTTCAAGTTTATAGTACGTACAGAATCATTTCAAGTTTATAGTAATAATAAAGTGTCATTAGTTTTTTTTTTTTTTTTGAGGAATAAAGTGTAATAAGTTATTTTTATTTTTTTGAGGAATAAAGTGTAATAAGTTATTTTTATTTGATCTGCAGTGTAATAAGTTATTGAGAGCGCGGCAGTGTGCCAACCAACTTAATAGATTAATGATAATTTATTTTTTTTTATCAAAAATGATAAGTTATTTTTTTAGGTGTAAAATATTTTAAGTTTGAATTAATATAATATATGAATAAAGTGAATTAAAATATGAGAAAAAAATTTAAAAAGTATTTAATTTAAAAATATTATTTATCTTGTGCAATTCAATATAAAAAAGTTGACGAGAGTGTTTGACAAAGTTTTAAAAATATTTATTTTAAAAATTAATATTTATCTCTTAAAATTTAAAATTTTATTTACGAATTAAAAATTTATTTTTAAAGTAAATTTTAAATAAATTTTAAAAGAACTTAAATGCTTAACTTTCTAAAAATTATTTTAAACTCATATTACAAGCTAAGTTTAAGTATTTATTTAACAAAATTTTAAGCTTGTTTAAAAAAAAATACTTTAAAATAAAAACTTTTTAAGATTTGCCAAAACAGCTTATATATCTTGAATAAGAGCTAAGTAGAGGATATACAAACCTTAGGACCCTCACATAGGTTTAAAAGGGCACTA